CCGTGAGGGGCCGGGCCTGCCGTGAGGGGCGCTCGCACCGGCACCCGCCAAACCCTTTTAACAATTGGACGGAAAACAGCAACGGGCGTTTGGCATGCCCATCGGCGCTTAGGGCTGTCAACTCTTTATCAACTCTTTGTCACGTCTTATCGCCCCGCCGCTTCATTTCGCAGCTCTCGTGACTAAGGCACTGGACTCTCCAGGACTGCCACAACAATTCTTCCTCAGCCAGTAAGTCAAGCTGCCAGTTCCTTCCGATCTCCGGGTGCCAAAATATGCCTTTATCCTTCAGCTGTAGATTCCCAAACACTGTATTATCTTTTCACACACACATGAAAACAGTAATATTTGAGAAAAATTAACTAGACATTGGAAAATCTGGACATGAACCAGAAAAAGAACACAATTAAGACACGTATCTTTATGCAAAACTTCTAAAACTTTAATACTTGTTAATTCACCTCTGAACAGTTACACATACTGAGCATGAGCACACTGTAATGGAAAGGGCAAACCAGCAATGTGTTTTCAGCCTCTGATGAGCACAGTAAGACGCCTGAGAAATCATAGTATGGTCACAGAAGAAAAAAATATTTGCAACAATATTTCTGTGAATACTGTGGCAGGTAAATTACCTAAGAAATTCAAATTACCACCTTGATGCATCCATGGTAGACACCGAAACCATGAACTGTTTAATATAACTGCTAAAAGAATCTCTGTTCTCAAAGAGTAACTACAGTCTGTTTTCTAAGGCTGTGTGTTATCCCCTTACCCATGGCAATGGAACACTAATACAGATCAGACATTTACTGGTAATTAGTCCTAAGATGAGGTAACAGGCAAGAGAACCAGTAGCACAGCATACTTTCATGTTTGCCAACTGGAATTTGCTTATCAGACCACAAAAACCAGATAGTGGTTTATTACTAGTTTACATTTGAGCAATGGTATAAATTAGAAAACTACATTAGAGATGTAACTACCTCTGAACCCTTTAAGGTGACTGTCTGAGTAGTAGTGTTAGTCATTTGAAGATACAGCTTGGTAAATAAATAAACTGCTACCCTCAGAGCTGCCTCAACATGTTTTCTACTGTAAGCAGAAGAAATAAATGTTTAACTGAAAAATACAAGAGAAGATTCAAGCCAAGGAAAGAATTACTAATTCCACTAATGAATTTCAGTTTGAGTGGAAGGGAGCAGAGGTGATTTAAATAATAATGTTTCAGAACACACAGTAGAACTGGTAGCTCTCAAGTTGATCCCTGGTTTAATATTTGTGTGACAATTTCTCCACAGGTTGTTTGGTTTCGAAAGTGACCGACCTATGCTCTCGGGTGCCTGTTTACCAGCCGGCTGAAGGCTGGCGGTGTCTCCTGTGTTTCCGAGTGCTCTCGCAGCAGTTAGCAGACGGGCGTTCTCTCCTCCGCGCGCTCCCCGGTGCGCCTCAGCAGGTACACGGCAGCGTGCAGCCCCCCCACGTTCACCCACACCGTCTGAGCTCTGCGCCAGATGTGCCCCACACGGGACAGGGCCTGCAAGCCAAAAACAGCCACAGTGCCACTAACACAACAACATTAGACTTTATTATTCTATATCACATCTGATGGCAACATCTAAGGACTTTTCAGGTCCAAAACTGAATTTAAGCGCTACTAATTATTGCTCTATAAATGGAGTAGCTTTTGTAATGATGACAATTTTCCCCTCAATGTATTTTCAAGTGTAAACAGGTTTGATTTTCTCTCACAGAACAAACCTTGGCAAAGCATTTCTTGTCCTGGGTAAGCAGCACAGCCCTGCCTGTCCCTGGGGTGCAGATCCGGCCCATCTCCATCAGGCAGGCTGGGTAAAGATCCCAGTTCTTCTTCTTCGACCCTATCCTGCAAGACACGTTCAGATCCCCACTGTGATCTCTGGCACCAGTTCAGTGCTGTTGGTGTCTCACACATCACTCTGCTCCTTTCAGGACCACAGTTACTTTCAAGCTCATTTTTAACGTAGGGCTCCTGACTCCTTCCCCACCAGGCCCAGTTAAGTGCCTAGCTGGGGAGAAGCCAGCCCTGGCCCAGGAGAGCATGTGCAGCCACGGCAGTGAGGCACAGCACCTCCCAGCACAGCTCAGCACCTTCCCAGCACAGCCCAGCTCACCTGAGCCCCCTCCCAGCACAGCTCAGCTCACCTGAGCCCCCTCCCAGCACAGCTCACCTCTTCCCAAAGGGCATGTCTGTCACCACGATGTCCACAGAGCCTGTCCGCAGGGGCAGGTTGCAGATGTCCCACTGGATGACGTCCAAGGGGACGCCCAGGGCAGTGCTGCTGCAAGAGCAAAGGCAGTTCCCTCAGACATGAGCACTCAGAAGGTTTTACACTGGGGAGGTCTAGAACGTTGGCAATAAAATAAACAAGAAAGTATGAACCAGACACTCGAAAGCATCAATGCAAAGTGGATTTGTGTCCATACAACACTGCAGGAAAGGTAAATCCCTCAGGCTCCTCTCACCTGTCCTTACTCTCGTTTTTCCTCAGTAAGGAGCAGATGTTGTTAGCTGCTCTCTTCACTGCCTGAGGGCTGTTATCCCCTGCAATGTGGTAGCAGTTGGGCCATTCTGCAGCTCCCTGGGGGGGAAATGATAATAAACAACATTAGCATCAACACTGCTTGAATGAAAAAAAAAACCAGAATAATTTCTCAAAAAAGACAATACAACAAAGCAACTGCAAGTGGATGGCAGGAAATTTAGAATTCTGTAGACAGCTGTATTTTGCACTTTAAAGCTCAAAATACTTTTGGATTTAGTCTCTTCCTGCTATGTCCATGGAAGGAAAATGAGGTAATTTTTAAAAAGTGTATTTGCATCTATTTAAAAATTGGTGAGATTGGAGCTTACTCTTCAGCCATTACCAAGAAGACTTACATGTACTAGTCAGCTGAAGATACAGCCAAGTTTAATTAAGTCTAAAAAAATCAAGGAAGAATCACCTCTATTGGTATCGCACCTGTACCACACATGGGGTCAACTATGATATCTGTGGGCTGGGGATCACAGAGTCTGAGGAAAAGAAGAAAAGATATGGTGAGAAATGTCTTAAAAACATGAATTTCTGCAAGTAAGGGAAAGTGAGCTATTTTAATCACTCTGATTCTACTCTTCTAACAAAAAACTTTATGTGAGTATTTGTTCCACTAGTTAATTACTATTTTATAACCAGCAATGCAGTGAAATTCTTTCAAGAATGTGGTACACTAATTTGAAACTTGGCTAATACTGCAAATGTTTTCTTTCCTTGGCTGGGAAACACCCACTGTTATTACAAGGCACATGGTGTCAGCAACTCCAGGGTTTTTAAATTTGTTTTTCTTTAAGAATTAACAGAAATGGCTTCTGAGGAAGCAGTGGGGGAGATACAAGGTCTAATTTTGGAAACAAAATGACTTTTTAACTGAGCATAATACAAGCTAAGTGCCCTGACCTGAGCATGCCATAAGCCAGAGTGGAACGCAGCGTTGTGGGCCCGAAGTGTGTGATGTTCCTTCTGTGGAGACTCTCTTCAGTTAAAGCAATCCCCACCACCACTTCATTGTTGTGAATATTCAGAAGAACCTAAAGAAAAAACCTGAAGTGAATTTCAGGAGTAATAGAATCTTTTCACAGAATGCCTAGTAAATATTCACAGGAATCTTAGATGGTAATTTAAAATCCAGGAATGACATGTAAAAAAGCTTTTCTTCTTGGAAAAGCTTTTTAATAGGACAGAATTCAGGTGAGCATTCACACACTCTCATTCACACCAAATCCGTTGCACAAGACTTCTCAAATTGCTACAACCATTGCAGTGGCTCCTTAAAAGATTTGGTTTGTAAGTCTGGGGCAGAAGCCAACTAAGTCCTGCAAGACACAGTGAACCACCTGCAAAAGCAGCAATAAAAAACATATTTGTGGTGGGGACTGCATTAATTAGGAAGGTCCAGCAAGAAAAGCTTAGAGGTCTTTCTGTCCCTCAGAAACAGTGGCTCCTCACCACCGACAGGCCAGGGGTGCTGGTTGTATTTTCCCAGCCCCTGCTCTCCCCTGACAGAAAATAAACATCTGACACTTACTGTTAACTCCTTCTGTCCCCTTCACCCCAAAACCAGCTTCCATTTGGAGCATTTCCAGGTAACTTAGACTGCTATTGCACAATGCATTAGAGAAAAGATTTACTGAAGGTGAAAGCAAGGCAAGTGCTTGCATCAGAGGACACACACAGTGTTGCCAGGGAAATGAACACTTCAGAGGAGGCTGATTTCAGCATTACCAGTTTTCGGTTCCAGAGTCCCTGGAAGGCAGTTTGGGGACCTCTAAGCATCAGAAGTAAGAACTAAAAATCTGTACCACAGAAACGCAGGTATTTCCAAGGCACACCACTATACCTCCACATCAAAATTAGTCATGTCAGCTTTCCACTGGAAGTGCTCCTGCACAGCTCCCCCGAAGTCCCTGGCGGCCTCGTTGGAGGTGAAGCTGTGCTTGTCTCCAGCCCTGTTGCAGGTCACTCGGAACCGCAGCACCTTGGCCTCCCCTGCGCCTGCCTCACTGTCACCAGCCTTGGTGCCACTCTCAGAACCCGCCTGCACTCCAGCCTTCACCTCTGGCTGCTCATTATCTTCCTCCTCCTCCACCCCATTCCTGGATGTCTCTCCTTGGGGAGCCTCTGTATCCTGGCCACCGGGGGGTTCCACAGCCACAGGGGTTTGGGCACAGTCCTCCTGGCCATCAGTGGTATTTTGGTCTGCTCCTCCCTCTTCCCCACCATCACTCAGCTTCTCTCTGCTTGCAGGACTCTGCAGACTGTGTTTTTTGCGTTTTGTCTTCTTCTTTTTCAGGCTGTTGTTCAACTCCCAAACTTTCAATGGATCAGTCCAGGGCAGCTTTTTAACCAAATCTTCCAAATGCTTTAGAGCATCTTCCTTTAAAAGACAGAAAAAGATGTGCTTTTAAGTTATTCCATCCTTTCAAAAGTTATCATTTACTTTGAGGTCTCTCAAAGTAGTTTATTAAACATTAATCCACTACATGTTTAATCAAAGCTTACAGGTTTTTGTCTGGTTTTTGCCATAACTAAACTGAAAATCACAAGACCCACGGAATTTCATCATTTATCTTGTAAAACAGACAACTAACACTGTATTAAGTGACCAAAGTGACACTTCACTGTCCTATGTCTGTGACCTACAAACATAGCATCAGCTCTTATCCCAGATTTCGCCAATGTAAAGTATTTAACTGCAGAAATTATGTTAGACAACATGGCCACGCTTCCAAGACAGAAAAAGGGAACTGGAATAATATCACAAATGAAAAACTTGTTAAGCAGAGTACTTTTATACTAGTCTTAAATTAAAAACCCCAAACAGCACTCCAAACCCCAGAACCGATAGAAAAAGGAGGATTAACTGACCTTCTTTTCTTCAAATTGATAGTCTTTGAACTCCTGAACAACAACAAATAAATTATCCACTGACCTCAGGCGATGGACCTGGAAGAGATGAAGCACATTGCTAACCGTGTGCCATGGGGACCGTGTTTACTGTCCTTAGAATTTTGTCATCTTTTGTCATCGAGGTTTTCCACCTTTAGTCCCCACGGGAGTTATCAGTTTATTTTGCACTGATTTCACATCCCCATCTAACATTTCGTCTCCCCCTGGAGCCCCGGTAAAGGCGGACACAGCTGCTGCACCCAGGCCGGCCGTGCTGGGACCGGACCAAACCGAACGGAACCGGACTGAACCGAACCCGACTGAACCGAACCGCACCGCCCGGGCCACAGGGGAAGAGCGGCGGGCGGAGCGGGGCGCGCAGCTCGCACGGACCTGAGGCAGGCTCCGGGCCGGCACCTCGAAGTAGATCTTGCCGCGATCCCTGCTGATCCTGGAGGCCGAGCCCAGCTTCTCCCGCACCTCCTCGGCCGCCGTCTGCTCGAACCCCGTGGGCACGGTGGCGCCGATCACGGCCGCCAGCTCCGGGCCCGGGCCCGGCTCCGCATCGCCGGCCGCCTCCGCCATTGCGGGACACCGCCCGCACCCGCCCACGGCCGGGCCGGACCGGACCGGATCGGATCGGATCAGATCGGATCGACCCCGGCCCGCGCCGGCACCGGCACCGGCTCCGCTCCCGCCCGCCCTTTCCGCTTCCGCGCCGGCCGCACCGCCCCCGCTGCCCTCGGCTGCTGCTGGGCACGGGCGGGAGGCGGCGCCGCGGCCCCGCGGGCACCGGGTACCGGTCCGTGCGGTACCGGGTATCGGTTCTGGGTACCGGGTACCGGTCCGTGCGGTACCGGGTATCGGTCCTGAGTGCCTGGTGTCGGTCCGTGCGGTACCGCTGGTACCCGGTATCGGTCCATACGGCCCCGCGGGGAGCACGTGTCGGACCCTCAGACCATCACTTCTTGAATTGGTTTAATTAATTCTTAGGGCATAAACGAATTTACAGAATTAAATTTCCAATACTGAAGTGCCAAGTTATGTCTGCACCTGCCTTGCCTGGAAAAATTGCTTGGTTTGAATTCATTAAAGAACTGCAGAATTAATTTGGTGTGACCTGATCTGGTTTGTCTTGCAGCGACAGGCATGTATTGTATAAATTCCATCCAGCACTTGAGTTTGCAAGGGTTAAAGTTCTTCAGGCTGCTTCCTGGCGGCAGAGGTTGCTTTTAAAAATGTAGTTTTGTATTGCAGTATGTTCACAGAGAAATGAAATAAAAAATTTGCCCTTCCAAAGTAAAAATGCTGTGAGCAGTATAGAAAGCTTTTCAGGGAAAGATGCAGGTGAGGGTGCCGGGCTCTTCCCTGCCGTGCCCTCTTGAAGGAGGTTCTGCTTGCAGGGCACTGAGGGCAAGGCTGGACCACTTCTACCTCGCTGCTACTCCATCTGCACGCTGTCTGCTGCTGGAGTTACTGGGCACTACCGCACTGCTGCTCAGGAGCTTCCAGGGATTTCCTGCAGGAGTGAGGGTTAGCACGGGGATTTGTTCAGATCGCCTTTTGACCTACAGCATCTGCTTCTGACCTGACACTCCAGATTACTTTGGGACAACTTAGTAAAGAGAAGATTCCTACACACAGAATTAAACAAAAAAGCAAGCAAATATTAAGCAGTTTACAGTTCAGACTTTTTCATGGGATTTTAACCTCAACTGGTGCTGGCAAGGTGTGAATGAAGTGTGGTTAGACAGCCTGTGGTGTGAACTGCAGGTCAGTCAGACTGGGCTAATGGTGTCCAGTCCTTCCTGTGGCCTGTGTGGGCAAGGGAAGGGGTTGCACAGTTCAGGATTTCTTCCTCTTCCAGTCGGGGATACAACTTTATGGTTTTGAATCTGCTTTGGCAGCCAGGAGACTGGGATTGGTCACAGTGCTGGTGGAGCTGGCATGAACTTTAAAGAATGGAAAAGGAATAAACCCTACAGTCATTTTTAACAGATCTGGAAGCACAGTTTAGGAATATATAATCTCACTGTGGCCCTGCAATGTGCATTGTTGTGTTTTTCTGTTACACCTGATTAGCTCCTACCCGAGTCCAAAATGCCACTGATGCTAAGATTATACAGCCTTGGGAAGCTACCACGGGCACTGCTGAGCGTCTTCAGAGTCTGCAGCTGTGTTTTACTAATGCCTTTGATCTGAAGCTTTGTTTTCCTAACAGCTAATTTATTAGTGAGCAAATTGAGGCTTTTGCATATTAACAGACTTGCCAAGTATCACTTAGGGGCCAGAACAGAGGCTAATGGAATTATAAAGTCTCTCCTCCACACCCAAAAAACTGTCCCTCTTATAAAGTCAATTTAATTATTCTCTAGGATGGAATGTACAAGATGCACAGTGTATTGCAATATCAAAAGAGTTCAGTTAATTTACCTATGTTAACCTCTGTGTGACCCTGCTCTGGGGACTTGAGGATGTGTCACTCACTCCTCTGCCGTTGGGTCAACATCTCTGGTGTTAAACCACACACTCAGAGGATGCATTAACCGCTTGACACTCCTGCTATTGCTGATATTTTGAGCTGAGAAGAAATCCGTTTCAGGCTCTTTTCCCTAGAAGCAGGGTTCTGCACTCCAAGCAGTGGCACACAAGTGCTGTAACCTCTTTCCTCCTGAGTCAGCCTAAGCTGTCAGTGAGCTTGCCTGTACACTAGAGCTGCTGTTCAGACCTTTGTTCCTGGCCAGCCGGTGATTTCCAGATAATCGTGAGTCATTGCTGTGGGAGGAAAAGCAGAATTGTTGTAGTGCTCAATAGATCACAGTGACATGTGAGGTGCTGCGTGTCTGGGCGTGAACATCACCGTGTCCTGAACCCTGCAGAGTGCAGGAGCTCTGCTGGATTTACTGGGGAATCCCAGCTCCTTAAACAGCAGAAGCTTGGCAGAAACTGGAGTGACCTTTGTGCCAATGATTGTGTTGGGAATTTTCTTAGCCTGCATGTAACCTGTACGGGCGGACAGCTCAGCTGAATTGTCAGCTCATCTCTTCAAATATGTCCTGCAGAGAAGATTTAAATTGTGTTACTGAATGGAGATCCTTCTGTTGGGAATATTTGAAAGAAGACTGCCACACACATACTTAAAAAGACGTATTTGGGGGTTTGGATTTTATTTTTAAAAGTCTGAACTACCAGTAAAAGTTCATTTCTGTTTTAAACATGTTTTTAAGTGGGAAGCCTGCACTGTGTTTTACCACGTGAAACAAACAGTTTGATCGCCTCCTAAAAGCCCATTCTGCACAAACCTATCCGTGTGGTTGGGACTTCAGAGCAGGAGAGCTGCTCAGAGCGCCTGTCAGGGACTGGGGGAGTGTGTGCACAGCAATCTGCATGTGAGTCACTGCAAGGGGCTTTTCCTGAATGACCTGGCTGGATCTTGGGTGTCTTCTGTGAGACTGTGTGACAATGCACACAGACACTGCACACAAACACAAACACAACACAAACACAAACACACAAACACTGCACACAAACACAAACACTGCACACAAATACAAACACACAAACACAAACACTGCACACACTGCACACAAATACACAAACACAAACCCGCTCCAGGGTGTGCAGTGCAAGATCGAGCTGCACCCATCTGTGCCTGCTTGCAGGTCCTTCTTCTGCTGTGAAGGAAGCATCAAGGTGAGAAGAGGCAAAGTGCAAACTCTGCATTTCCTGCTCCCTGTCCTGCCAAAGCCAGCATCTCCTCCGGCCTCAGGGCTTGCACAGCTCACAGGGGACTCACAGGGGACTCACAGGGAATTGTAAATGTTTCATACTGCTGCCAGTGGACAGCCCCTCCTCTGTAGGAAAAGGAGTAATCCTGGATAACACGTCTGCTTACTGCTACACTTTCATCCTAAATAATTTTAAAAGGATGATGTCAGTAAGATGAAAACTCAGATTTGGTAATTGTTTCCATTCCAAACCCGCAGTCCCCGGCAGGGTCTTGTGGAGCACCACTGATCTGTACGAATTCTTCCTGCAGTTACATGCTCCTCTGGGCCAGAGACACCCCCCTGCACGTCCTGCTTCACGTGTGAATTTCTGGGTATTACTGTGCTGTGATGAATGTTCTGTCTCAGCAGATATCTGACTGATTCCTTAAGAGATTCTGCAGCACTGGGTTTTTCAGAGGCTGAGGGGACAGACAGTGTTAAACTCAATCAGCCGTGGGGAATCCAGGCTTCACTTGAAACCCAGCTCTTTGGCATTAAATCACAGAGATATTTTAAAGTGAAACTGGGAATGTTGTGCAACTCTGCAGAGAGCAGAATCCAGAACGAACTCCAGGTTTAAATTTTCTCACTGTTTTTCTGCAAGTTAGTGATTTGTTTGTTCTATATCCATGACTACATGTAGACATTATTGTCAAATGTGGTTCGTATGAAACACTTGCAGCCATGGCAATAATTTGAGGATTGTCAGTCTCCTGGGCTGTGGATGCCAATCCTCTGCCTGGGTTGTCCTGCTCCCCAGAGCTGCCCCTCCAGCGTGCCTCACCCTGGGCTGGAGGGAATCCCTTCAGCAGGGACAGGGATTTGACTGAGCTGCAAAACAGTGAAGTCAGAGAACCAAGGCTTGTAATTTTGGAATTCTGAAGCACGATGATCTTCAAACTCATTTCATAGCAGGGGAAGATAACCCTTTGTTGGAATGAATCCAACTTGAGCACTGACATGAGTCACTCACCCAAATTCCGACCTGTAAGATTTTGGGTTGGAAGGGATGGGACTCCCTCCACAGCACTGGACCAATCACCTCTGTGTTTGCTGTGTGGCTCCTGCGTGGGGATGACAGTGTTCCATCAGCTCAATCACTTGTGCATTATCTTGTGGGGTAAACAGGAGGTGGAAGTGAGGGTTAGGGAGGTGCCAGTTGTCCCAGATTCTTGGTTTTCCTTACCTGGCGATTTCCCAGTGTTTCATGCCATAGGAGAGTGTGGAGGTGTCAGTCACTGTCTCTGCTGACCTGGTTCTTCTTTTTGACCTGGATGTGCTGTGAACTGGAGCTGTTTTGGATGAGGAGTGACGGCTGGGGGAAGAGGGAGCAACAACTCATCCCCCTGCAGCACCCTGAGCCACACTCACACAGCAGCCCATTTGTGGATTAGTGGGATTCAGTTTAGTGTGAAATATGTCAGAGCAAAGATCTGGCAGTGTTGGTGCTGAGTTTTTGTCGCAGTTTTGAAGCATTTGCAGGAGTGTTTCATGCTGCTCCCCCATGGTCTTGCTCAAGCTGATTATGAAACAGTGACCTTGTGGGTGGTTTGCTCAGGAAATGGGGCTCCCTCTGCTCTGGCCCAGCTCCCTGTGCATGCAGCAGCTTCCCCGTGAGGCTGCAGCACGCTCTGCTGCTGGTGTCAGCTCAATTTCCTCCTCCTAACACCATGCCAAGGCCTAGACTTCACACACTGCCAATGAAAGAGCTCCTGGAAGAACCCAGAGCAGGAGTGCAAGAGGACACGGGAGGGATGCCAAGGAGAAACAGGAGACAGAAGTGCCTGGATGGTGCTTGGGCAGGACTGCAGCCTC